TGTATGTACCACAGTTTGTTTATCCATTCTTCAGTTGATGGGCACTTTGGCTGTTTCCATCTCTTTGCTATTGTAAATAGTGCTGCTGTGAACATTGGTGTGAAGACAGTCTATTTTGTCCTGTAATCTACCTGATCTTCTCACCACCTGGATCTCTGTTTCTCTGTGTTTACCTTCTTTCATATTGTAATTGTTTTAATCATAGACTGACCTCCCAGATCCTTTGTTCTTATAATTTTATTCTGTTCTTAACTCTTGCATTTGTCGATTGAGTTCAGGGTAATGCTGCCATGTACGTCATTCTCTGGTTGTTGTCTGTTCTTGTTGGTTCTCAGTCCACAGAACTCCCTTTAGGATGTTTTGCAGTGCAGGATTTGCTTTGGCAAAATCCCTTAGCTTCTGTTTATCTTGGAATGTTTTGATTACACCATTGTGTTTGATTGACAGCTTTGCTGGATAGAGGATTCTTGGGTGGCAGTTTTTCTCTCTCATGGTTTTATATATGTCTCCCCATTGCCTTCTTGCCTACATAGTTTCTGTTGATAGATCGGAGCTTAATCTGATTTGCTTGCCTTTGTATGTTACACTTCTCATTTCCCTAGCTGCTTTCAGGATTCTTTCCTTAGCTGTAATTTTGGAGAGTGTGAATATTATATGTCTAGGTGATTGTCTTTTAGGGTCTGTCTTTACTGGGGTTCGTTGAGCTTCTTGAATGCATATCTTTTCATTTTTCATGATGTTAGGAAATTTTTCTTCCAGAAGATCTTCAGCTATCTCCTCTGTGAACTTATGTGATTCTTCCTGTTCTGGGATGCTGATAATTCTTAAGTTATTCCTCTTCATGTTGTCTAACATGAATCTTAGGCCTTTTTCTGATATTTTTATCCTTTTTTGTGCTTGCTCTTCTGTCTTAGTAGTGTTGAGAGATTTATCTTCTAGCTCACTAGTTCTGGCATCTAACTCTTCAGTTTTACTCTTTTGCCGTTTCTGTGTACTGTCCATTTCTGATATTTTATTATTAATCGTTTGGACCTCTTTCTGTAGGTTTGAATTGTTTCCAGTGCTGTCTCTATCGTATTTGATTGTTCCTGTAGCACTTTCCTGACTTCTTCCTTGTTGTTCTCAACTCCATTGTATAGTATTTTGATACATTTTATAATCATTGTTTTGAATTCCTTCTCAGGCATTTCCAAAGACTGCCCATCTTCCAGTGTGGAAGGAAGGTCTACTTCCAGTGCATTTTCCTCAGTGATTTTATCTCGTTTCTGGACATGTGCTGATATGGTCATCTGTTTCTGTCTTTTAGGCATATTCAGGAGTTATCTGTGGCCTTAAATCTTAGATGACTATATATTTTGGTACTTTTTATGCTTCCTGTTTGCCTCCGGGTAGATGTGATCAGGAGATCGACTTCCCTTTTCACTCTTTGTCCTGAGAAATTTCAAGATGCCACTGTTGGTCATTCTGACGTGACTCAGGATTTAATTTTTGGCCTGTTTCCTTTTTAGTCTGTCTGACCCGCTCCACAATCTCCATTCAGGCCTTTTTCCTAGTGATAAACAGTTAAGGGCTGGCTGTGGCTGTTTTGCTCTGCTGTTTGATTTTAAGTGGATACTGTCACTTTAAATTTCAAGATCTGTGTGCATGCGTAGTAGAATCCTCCAGGGGTTGGGGTGGGGTGCCTACTCTCTCAGGCACCCCCTCTAGTCACCAGAATGGAGGTGCGTAGATAGCAAGAGACCAATAAACACATAGGGAAAAAACATGAATGTCCACACCTTTGTCTCCATGGTTCTGTCAGGCATCTGTGGCTTCTCTGATCCTTCCCTTGCTCAGTCTTGCCCAAAATGGCAGCTCTGGGAGCAGCTGAGCATCTTGAATTAGAAGGCAATGATTTTCTTGCTTCTGCTACAAATTCCCCTAGCTTGGAAGCCTTCCAACCTTCTAAATATACCTTTATATGTGGTTCAGAGTTCTGGGACCATCTTGTGAGCCCGCTTGGTCCAGTATTCTGTGTTGTTGCTGATTGAGCTCCTCACTGCGCATCCACCCAATCAGCTATCTTGTTTGTTCTCCCTGTTTTCTTTCTTGATTAAATTCTTGATTCACTCTTGGTTCATGTTTCCTTTTTTTGGCCCTAAGATATCCAATATAAGTTGGGTGTGGTGTTTTCTGTTATTTGAGTTTTATCAACTAAAGTGTTTGTCAATAAAAGTGGATGTCTTTATTTTTTGCTTATTTTGAAATGTTTTCTTTTCCTGGTTTGACAGTACTTGAAATTGGAGGAATTTGTGTTGTGTGCTATGCTTTGAATCTAAGTTCCAGAGAATCTATTTTATTTCTGTAGTGCAGTACCTCTTCCTTTATCACTGGTGCCTTTTCCAGTTGTGGGGCATTGATGTGTCTTCTGATTTTGTGATTTCCTTATTTGTTAAGGACCCACCATGTTTGCTGTTTGCTTTTATGTTTTTGCCAAGTGTCCTAGGAGTACCCTGTTTCCAAGTTGGAGTTTAATCTTGAGCAAATCATTTATCCTCTTTGTGATTTCTTTCCTGTAAATTGACTTATTATTTTAAGTGTTGTTTATCATAGAATCTACTGGTCTTGGTCTTATTACAGTGGTATAAGAAAACATATACTTGGCACAGTAGGGTCTATGGTTAGTATTTACTGTACATTGGATAAAGTCAAGCTGATCATCAGGTGTCACCCATCTCGACAGATTAACCTTTGATCTGATTTTACAAAGGATTGAAACATGAATTGCTTTGAACAGACCCTCTGATGAGTGGATAGGCATTCAGTGGTAGGGTATTCACTTTGTGACATACGCCTTGCAACGTTTGCAGATGTCTGTTATTGGGGTCCTGGTGTGGCACTGTGGGTTAATGCGCCAGACTGAAAAGCCATTTGAACTGCAAGGTTGGTGGTTCAAGCTTACCAGCTGCTCCTTGGAAACCCTATACAAGGTCGCTATGGGTAAGAACTGACTCGACGGCACTAAACAACAACAACATCATTGGGGATAATGTCACAGAACCTTTAAGCAGCTAGGCTTTCTAGGGTTTTGTTTAGAAATTAAAATCGCCATTTTAATATAATTTGGTAATGTCTTCATTCAGATGGGTCTTGGTACTGTTTGAACATGTGTGGTTTTTTGTGTGTGAAGCCAATCCAAACACAAATTATTTTATTCTTTATTCCCCCAGAGTGATGATTCTGACATTTGGGATGATACAGCATTGATAAAAGCCTATGATAAAGCTGTGGCTTCATTTAAGGTATGGAATGTTTACACACTTTATTTCCTCAGTTGGAAAAAAATTGATAATATGCTCATACAGTAGTGTTAATGTATATGTTGTCCAGTGTTAATTTTGAAGATTAAGTGGTAATATGGATTCATAAAGTCAGATGACATCTTCCTTTAGAAGTTGATAGCCTATTTATCATCTTTTTCACTTAATCACCCATTTGTTGCTCAGTCAGGTCTAACTCATGATGTCCTCATGTATGTCAGAGTAGGACTGTACAGCATAGGGTTTTCAATAGTTGATTTTTCAGAAGTAGCTCACCAGACCTTTCTTCTGAGACAGATCTGTGTAGATGCAAACCACCGACCTTTTGTGCTACCAAGATGCAAAGTAGAATATTAAATGTTTATTATCTTTAAAATAGTTTCACGTTTTATCATAATACATAGTTGTTGTGTTCTGTCAAGTGGGTTCTAACTAATATTAACCCTATATTGGGTTTCTGAGAGTAGCTGGTGTGATGGAATTGCCAACTTGCATCTAGTGCTTATTCTATATTGTTGTGAAGTGCAGTCGAGTCAGTTCCGACCCATAGCAACCCTGTATAGAGTTTCCAAGGAGCAGCTGGTGAGCTTGAACCACCAACCTGCAGTTCAACAGGGTCACATGGTACAGAATGATTGAGAGTATTGATTAAAAGTTTCTTTAGAATTGACAGTCAGTTGTATGATGTCTTCAGAAGCACTTTGGTAGAGTGTAGAATGGTGAGAAGAGGAAGTAGTGGTGAAGCCTTGAGACCTGCTTTTAGTGGGAACTGACCTACGTTGTGGTTTATTTTTAGTGTCACTCTAAAACATGTACATTTCTATACATACTTTAATAGCATGCTCTGAAAAATGGTGACATTTGTGAAGCTTCAGGCAAGCCAGAAGATACACCTAAAAGAAAACCTACAAAGAAGAAAAAGAGTCAAAAAAAGAATACCACAACTGCATTGAAACAGGTTATTTTAAATACTGTAAAACATATTTAACTTAAATGATTAGAACAATGTAACTTAAATGATTGATATGTTTTTCATTGACATACAATTGTAAAACTTTTATTAAACTGTTGTTTAATAACATGCACATCAGTAACAAGATTATATTTTACTATCTTAAAAAAAAAAATGTATATGTATCCTTGGTTTCTTTTGTAGTGGAAAGTTGGTGATAAATGTTCTGCCATTTGGTCAGAAGATGGCTGCATTTACCCAGCGACCATTGCTTCACTTGATTTTAAGAGAGAAACTTGTGTCGTGGTTTACACTGGATATGGAAATAGAGAGGAGCAAAATCTCTGTGATCTACTTTTACCAGCCTTTGGAGCAGTTAATAATGTAGAGCAGAATACTCAGGAGAATGCTCAAGAGGTAAGAAAGAATATCTTCCTCAAAGAAAAGTATTGTGAGAAGCAAAGAACAGATAAGAAACTAAATAGTATAACTAATCAGTTTGTTCCACTAAGGCATTAAATTTTTCTTTCTTTGTTTTTAGAACTGTTATTATTGTGAATTGAGTGAAGGTTTACAGAGTAGATCATCAGTTTTGCATTCAATAAATTAAATATGTTGCTTCATTACATGGTGCAGTCCCATCTGTGTATCAACAGTTAACAGCATTTACAGCTATTCACTTTAACTACTGCATTCCTCCCTGTATCTCCCACTACCTTCATCTTTCCTCTGCTAACCTCCCTCTTGTTATATATTGCCTGCCCTACCCGAACACAATAATTAACGTGTCTAACCTCTAGTCGGTGAATAATTTCCCATAACCTCAGTAATCGTCATGGATTGTTTCTTCATCAGGAAAACCTTTTTTTAAATCTTTTTATGACATTGGTCTCATACACTGTCCTTTTGTGATTGACTAATTTTATACGCTTTTGTGATTGACTAATGGTTAATACGCTGGACTGCAAGGTTGGTTTGAACTGCGAAGTAGGCGGTTCAAGCTCCCCAACCACTCTCCAGAAACCCTATATAGGGTCACTATGAGTTGGAACTGACTCGATGGCGGTTAACAACAGCAAATTTTACTCATGAAGAAAAACAAAAATTGATGCAGCAGTGTAAGTACAAACTCATCTCTGCCAAGAACTTTGGAAGACACCTACCTGTACAGCTGATTGAAAGAGATCCATATTTGTGCCCATTTTAAAGAGAAGTGACCCAGTGGAATGCAGAAATCATTGGACAGTATCACAAATATCATATGCAAGTAAAATTTTGCTAAAGGTAATTGAATACTGGTACATTGACAGGGAACTGTCAGATGTTGTTCGGGCTGGATTCAGAGGATGTGGAACAAAGGAAATCATTGCTGACATCAGATGGATCTTGACTGAAAGCAGAGAATACCAGAAAGATGTTAACCTGTGCTTTATTGACTCTGCAAAGGCTTTCAGTTGTGTGGATCATAAGAAGCTATGGATAACAATGCTGAGAATGAGTATTCCAGAACACTCAATTGTACTTATGAGGAACCTGCACATAGACCAAGAGGCAGCTCTTTGAATAGAACAAGGGAACACCTAATGGTTTAAAATTAGGAAAGGTGTGCACCTGGGTTTTATTCTTTAACCATTCTTATGTTGATGGCATTTAGACTGTCCATTTTTTTATAATTCTCTTAGATAGCATATTGAAGAATCCTGTTTTCTTATCCATTGTACTCTTTTGTGTCTTATCTGATACGTTTAATCATTTACATTTAGTGTAATTATCCATAGATACAAATTGATTGTTGTCATTTTTCTGTGTGTGTTTTTTTATGCTGCTAGATTCTTTGTTCCATATAATTTTCTATGCTGTTTGTTTCTATTTCGTTTGTGGGTTTTCTTTTCATTTTCATTTCTGTTGTATTAATGTTTACTAAATTTTCAGGTTTTCATCTTTTTAAAAATTTTATGGGCAGGTATATTATTTTTCTTTGAGTTTGCCCTCTAACTTATTAATTAGGAGAGTTCTGCACCAGAGTTTTTCCATGCTTAAAACAGTCTGTTTTATCTTGAAATCAACTTGACTTCCTTGCCATTTGTAAGTTCTGTAGCTACGCTGTTCTCTCTCTTTGCTTGTAGTTGACTTCGTTATACACTGATACCTTTCATTCCCTGTTTTCAATCTTATAGTTTCATTTTACTTTAAATACTTCTGTATCTGGATCGAATTCTGGGTGGTGTTGTCATGTCTGGTAATCTGAGGTTGTTGTCTGCTGTTGTTAGTTCTCAATCCAAAGAACACCCTTGAGAATTTTTTGTAAAGTTGGTTTGTTCATTACAAATTCCTTAAATTTCTGTTTAGTAGGAAATGTCCTATATCGCTGTTGTATTTGCTTTGCTGGGTGCATGATTCTTGGTTGGCAGTTTTTTTTCTTTTAGAGTTTTGTATAATATGTTATCCCATTGTCTTTTTTTTTTTTAAGTTTTTATTGTGAATTGAGTGATCGTTTACATGGGAGAACATCAGCTTTACAATCATCCTATCGTATTTCAAGCAATGTTATATGCAGTCGTTTCATTGCAGTGATTATAGTACCTTCCATGCATCATCATTCAAAAGCATTTGCTTCCATTCCGTTGTCTTCTTGCCTGCATAGTTTCTGCTGTGAATTCAGAGTTTAGTCTTACTGGGTTTCCTTTAGGTAACTTTTCACAGGATTCGGGCTTACTGAGCTGTGGCTTAGTATAGACGCTGGGGTTTGCCCATGTTGCTCTTGATATACAAAGTCTGGACATCCTGCCAATTCTTAACAGTGAAACCAGAGAGTTTACAGCTAAGTGGATATTATAAATGATTTCATCATCTGTCACCTTCACATGACAAACAGCCACTGCCAGACATAGCATCTTCTTCATCTGAAACTTGATGATGGTCTTCATCTCATCTGCTTTAACCACTGTGTTCTCATTGTGGGTAAACAGGAAAAGAAATTGGCCAGCCTTGTTCAGGTCTGGTCCTAGGATCCTTGGGGTTTGATTGATAGAGACTCTGAGGCCAAAAAGGCATCATGCTTCTTGGCCAGCTTTTTGCCCAGCTTCTTATTCTTCTTGAATTTCTTGAGTTTCTTGGTGTCCAGGTGAAGGATATCCACTGCCTTTGCTTCATCACAGTACTGCTCGACTCCAAGGACACACACAGTGACCTTGGGATGGGGGTGGACTTAAACCTGACGGTGCCGGAGAAGCATTTATCCTTCTTAGGGTCATAGTTTTTCAAGCTGTTTTGTTGATCCACTATTTCCAAAAATTCACAACTCTCGCATTGGTTCCCGTGCAAGACTTTGTGCAACTATAGAGTGTGTCATGGGAGACTTTACTGTTCATGGTGCCTTGTTGTTGTTGTGAAGAAGTGCCATTGAGTTAGTTCCAACTCATAGCTAACCTGTATAGGTTTCTGAGGAGTGGCTGCAATTCAAACCAACCTTGCAGTCCAGGGCATTAACCCATAGTGCCATACCAGAAATTCTACCACCAGAATAATGGGAAAAAAATTTGTCTATGATTTTGTAAAGTTTGATTATGATATGTCTTAGTGATTTTCTTTTTGGATCATTCCTGTTGGGGTTCATTCAGCTTCTTGTATGCTTCTCATCTTTTATGATGTTAGAGAAGTTTTCTTTCAACAATTTTTTTTATAATTTTCTGTGCTTGCCTCCTCCTGTTCTGGCTGGAATTCCAGTCCCATAAGTTGTCCCTCCTCTTGGTGTCCTACATAATTCTTAGACTTTCGTTGGATTTTTTCATTCTTCTTTTATGGTTGTTTTTCTAGCATACAAGTATTGAGACATTTCTCTTCAAGCTCTCCAATTTGGGCTTCCATTGCCTCGCATCTGCTCCTTTGCTCTTTCAATGTATTGTCTATTTCTGAGATCTTAATATTAATCTTCCGGATTTCTAATTGCAGGTTTTGTATTGTTTTAAAATATGCATTTGTTTTGTCTGTTGTTCTTGTAGTGTTTTTCTGAATTCTTCTTAAGCTTTAATTATATTCTCCTTGCTTTCCTTGATCTTTCTATCAGTCCTTTGAAGGTACCTAATTATCATTCTTTTGCATTCTTTTTCAGTTCTAATACCTTTTCTTCCTTAGAAACGTCTTCTGGGCCTACATCTTGGTTGTTTGTTTGAGCCATTCTTTCTTGTTTCTTCATGTGAGCTAAAATTATCTCTTGTCTCTGGGGGCATTGTGAGGTTATCATGTTTGTGAAAACAAACAGTACAATTGTTGGACCCAGGGGAGAAAAGTCTCAAGCTTGCTTCTGTAATCCAAGGAGCTCCTGATATGGTAATGGAGGGATGTGACAGTGGAGTTCCTGGCCCTAGCTGGAGTTCCTGTTGGCCACACTGTTACCTATGGTCAGTGTACTCCATCCAGAAATCGTTTGTGGGGGCCCTTGATGGAGCTGGTTTCAGTGTCTGTTAGGACTACAAGGGAGAGGGGGCAGGGTGATTGGTTAAATTCTGGTCTGGTAGCACTGCAGCATTTGTATGTCTGGATCCAAGCCCACCTGAATTCATGCACCAAAGAGGCACACCAAAATGGCACAGCCAGCTCCCACCTCACATTGACGTGGCTGCCAACCACATGGCTGTCAACTTCAGAAGAGCAGGGTCTGTGCTGGGGGTGCCTGAGGGTGGGAGCTGGCCATATCTCTGGTCACCAGAGGAGCTTGGGCAAAAAAAAGAAAATCACACCTTTTCCATCACCCACGCTATCTTCTCTGCCTGGCCTCTCTCCACTGCCAAAGCTGCTCACAAGATGATTGAGCCTCGTCTGGTCACCAAGCAGTATCCCTCTCTTGCCTTCCCTGCTTGGCCTCTCCTCCCAGCAAGCACTCCATCCACCTCTGTAACCATTTTTCTGAAGTTCGTGGTGCCAGAATTTTCATATGTATCTGTCTTGTTTGGTCTCTTGTATCTTTGTTGTAGATGGTCTGTGTAGTGCATTTGCCTAGTCTGCTGTCTTTCTGGAAGTCTTAATGACACCTTTATAACAGTTTTTTATTTTTTTGTTTTTAAAGAATGAAAATGAAAGTCAAATTTCAACAGATGAAAGTGAGAACTCCTCCAGGTCTCCTGGAAATAAACCAAATAACATCAAGTCTAAAGCTACTCCATGGAACTCTTTTCTACCTCCACCACCTCCAGTGCCCGGAGTGGGACCTGGAAAGGTAAACCTGCTGCTTGTTAAAGATGCCATAGAGTTGGGTTGTTTAACTTAGGCCTAGATGAATTGTCCTGGAGTCCTGGTACAGCACTGTGGGTTAATGGGCTGGACTAAAAGGTTAGTTTGAACCACAAGGTCAGCGGTTCAAGTTCAGCCACTCCTCAGAAACCCTGCACAGGATTGTTATGTGTCAGAACTGACTCCATTGCACTTAACAAGTGAATTGTCGCTTTTCCTATGAAACTTTTGTATCTCTGTTGATGCTACAAATTCATACTTGGGAATTCATTGAAAAGGGAAGAAGATAATGAAGCAGAAGAGTTTACACTGAGAGAGTTTTGTATTTACTTTTGTAGAGTACTAAGAATTAGACTGATAGCATAGAAAATGTGTGTAACTTAGAAAGTGTGATAATAACGTTACATGATATACTGTAGTTCCTCTTGTCAACTGTTTAAGATATGTACAATTTGAGGGAGAACACACTATGGTGTCCTTTTTGGCAGTTTGTTAATATTTACATCTAATATGAACAAAATCTCAGAGAACTCTTAGATTGTTTTGCAGAGTTAAAATGTAAATATTCTATTTAGATTTCTTTCTGGTTATAACTAATAGAAATTTTTTTTAAAAGATTTTTATGAAAGTTGCATTTCATTTATTTTTTCAGTTTTCTGAATCTAACATTATCAGTCTCATAATTTTTATTTATACACACACATACTGGTGGAAAACTGGAATTAAAAGATAGTTTTTCCACCAAGTTTTTGAAACCACCTTGTATGTGGATGTTTCATTTGTCCCTGGGAACTGATCTTTCTTGGTTGGTGACAGGTTTGCTAGTTTTACCATATTTACTCTTAGACTAGAAAATATATAGCTAAAAGGCCATCTGAAAAAGAGTATAAAGTTTAGTTAATTGTGAGAAGATACAATGTTTTATAATTGAAATACCTTGCTAAAAACCACTATCTTGTATTTATTAAATAATTGAATATCTTAACTTTGTTTTTACTCTCTGGATATCAGTATAGATAGGAAGTGAAAAAAGTAAGGAGATGAGCATTTTTGACTTGTAAGTCTATTTCACATCAGTAATTGGTGCATGAAATTCCACTTAATTTTTTATGTACATTATATACAAAGAGGAAGGATCAGTGGTTGGAAAATAGTATAGCAAAATTGTATAATGTGCTTATAGAAATAATGCTGGAGATCGCATGATAGAACTTTACAAGACTAATGACTTCTGCAAAAAAGATTTGATGCACTAGACACTAATGACCAAAGACCAGAAGACTTGCTGGATGACATACAGGAAAAAAAATAAAAGGTCATTAAAAAGAAAGGAAAGAAAAGGACCAAAATGAATATCAGAAGAGACTCTGAAACTTACTCTTTGAGTGTAGAGATGCTAAAGCAAATAGAAGAAATGAGATGGTGAAAGAGCTGAACAGAAAATTTCAAAGGGCAGCTCGAAAAGACAAAGTTGAGCATTATTATTATGAAACGGGCAAAGACCTGGACTTAGAAAACCAGAAGAGATGAACACATTGAACAGCTCTCAAGCTGAAAGATCTGAAGAAAACATTCAGTCTTCAACTTGTAAAATTGAAGGATTTCATGGCAAAATGGAGTACAGGTGTGGCGCTGTTAATGCGCTGGACTGCAAGGTCGGTTTGAACCACTAGGTCTGCAGTTCAAACTCTGTAGCCACTCCTTTGAAACCCTATACAGAGTCGCTGTTAGTTGGAACCGACTCAGTGGCACTTAACAACACAGCAACATGAACAAAATACTGAATGATAAAGAAAACCTCAAAAGAAAATGATAGAAAAGAAAGAGATGGAGCAACTGGGGACTGTAGGCTCAAGGAGGGAGAGGGCATGTGTGCTGGCAGCTTGGGGGGCAGGCTTGCAGAATGTACCCTTTGGCTGTTTGAATGATTATATATTCCAGAGTGTTTTGTTGTGCATATAAAAAAAAAGGGGGGGGGGAATAGAAGTAAATACTGTTGAGTGATGAAGCTTGCAGGGGATTGTAATCATGGCAATGAAATGAATACGATAGGATGAGTGTTAAACTGATATACTCCCATGTAAACAATCACTCAAATCACAATAAAAACTTAAAAAAAAAAAGCTCAATATTCAGCCCTTTAAGGAGGTAGCATATGAATGGAACTGATGTCACAGAGAGAAGTCCATGGTGTGCTGAAGGCTTTGGCAAAAAGCAAGGCTCCAGGAAGTGATGTGATACAATTGAAATCTTTCAACAAACTGATGCTGCGCTGGAGATACTCATCAATGCCAAGAAATTTGGAAGACAGCTACCTGGCAAACGGATTGGGAGTGATCCGTGTTTATGCCCATTCCAAAGAGAGGTGACCTAATGGAGTGTTGAAATCATCAAACCATCATTAATATCACACGCAAGTAAAATATTGCTGAAGATAATATAAAAAACAGCTACAGTGGTACATCGACAGGGAATTTGTAGAAATTCAAGCAGGATTCATTAGAGGATGTAGGACTAGTGATGTTTTTTAAAAGCATTAGAAGGATTTTGGCTGAAAACAGTACCAAAAAGATGTTTGGTGGTTATATGCCATAGAGTCGGTTCTGACTCGTAGTGACCCTGTACAGTGTTTCCGAGGCTGTGAATCTTTACGGGAGCAGAAAGCCTCATCTTTCTCCCACAAAATAGCTGGTAGCCCTGAGGTTAGCAGCCTGATTCGTAACCACTATGCTACTTGTGCTTCATTGACCGTGCATGACAAGCTATGGATAACATTGGGAAGAGTGGTATTTCAGAACAGGAGGCATTCGTTCAAATAGAATAAGAAGATACCCAGTGGTTTAAAATTAGGCAAGGTGTGTGCCAGAGCTTTAGTGTTTCGCTGTGTTTATTTAGTCTGTATACCCAGCACATAATCCGAGAATCTGAATTATGTGAAGAAGAACGTGCCATCAGGATTTGGAGACTCATTAACAACAACCTGTGATGTGCAGGTGATACAATCCTGCTTGCTAAAAACGGAGAGGGCTTAAAATACTGATGAAGATCAGAGACCACAGCCTTTGGTATGAATTGCACCTCAATGTAAAGAATGCAAAATTCCTCACCATTGGAACCAGTAATAACATTATGATAAATGAAGAAAAGTTTGAAGTTGTCAGTGACTTCTTTTTTCTTTTTTTAAGTTTTTATTGTGAATTGAGTGATAGCTTACATGGGAGAATATCAGCTTCACACTCATCCTATTGTATTTTGTTTCATTGCAATGATTACAATCCCCTTCATACATCATCATTCAACAGTATTTGCTTCTGTTCCCTCTGTTTTGTTTTGTTTTGATGTACACCAAAACACTCAGGAATATACAATCATTCAAACAACTAAAGGGCATACCCTGCAAGCCTGACCCACCACCCCTAGCCGCTGGCACTCAGCTCCTCTCATAAAGAAGACTGTAGAAGAATTGATTCATTTGAATTATGATATTGGAGAAGAATACCGTGGGTTGTCACACAAACAAATTTGTGTTGGAAGAAATTCAGCCAGAATGTTCTTAGAAGCCAGGATGGCCAGACTTCATCTCTCATACGTTGGACATATTATCAGGAGGAACCAGTCCTTGGAGAAGGATATTCTTGGTAAGGAGGAAGGTCTGCAAAAAAGAGGAAGACCCCTAGTGAGATGGAGTGACACAGTGCCATGGGCTAAAGTGTAATAGAGATTGTGAGGTTATAGCACAGGACCGGACATTGTTTCATCCATGTTGTTCATAGGGTTAGAACTGACTCGATGGCACCTAACAACATAATATAGGTATTATTCTGGGTAATCATTTTGATTCTTTTGGTATTGAATCTTTTTTTTTTTTTTTCTATTCTTACCGAAATTAGTAAGTTAGTTTACCTTTGAATTATTTCTTCACAGTCAGGCCTAAAATTTAATGGACCACCACCACCACCACCACCACCCTCCTTTCTATCATGTTGGCTACCTCCATTTCCTTCTGGACCACCTGTAAGTTCAAAATAATTCAGATTAAACTTTGCTTTCATACATGACTTTAGATTTAGCAGGATATAGGTGATTATTTGAAATTGAGCAGAATAGAGATAATTGGAAAATGTTATCCTAGACCAAGCCTAGGACAAGATTTCAGTGGGTAAAAATTTGTATATACTCATTAATTTCATATTTAACATCCTCTACTGCCCCTGGTCCGTTGGAGAAAGATGAAATTTTCTGCTCCCGTAAAAAATTTATAGCCTCGGAAACCCAGTACAGGGTCGTTGTGAGTTGGAACCGACTCCATGGCACATAACCACCAACCATCACTACCCCTGGAGTCTTGGTGTGGCGCTGTGGGTTAATGTGCCAGACTGTGAAGTCGTTTAAACTACAAGGTCGGTGGCTCAAGCTCACCAGTCATTCCTTGGAAACCCTATACAGGGTCGCTATGGGTTGGAACCAACTCAACAGCACTTAACAACAACAACAACTGCCCCTACCCTTAGCCCTGTGTTGTCTTATTCCTTCTTGCAGTTGTTTTTCATTCAAAGGGAAGGAGCTTCTATCTGTAATAATTTAATTACGTCTTGTGAAGGGAAATAATGACTTGCTCTCCCAGATACTTGTACTCCTCCAGTAGACTAGAATTTTAGTAACAGAATTTTAAGTATCAACAATAGGCTTGATACACAGACACTTTTGACTGCTGTGTTTTGGGGTGGGAATGGACTGATACTCTCCCCAAAATCTTTACATAAAAATGTCCTTGAAATTTTGTGTGTGTGTGTGTATGGGGGAGGGGTGGGGGTGAATATGGAAATATTTATATTTGGGCTTTTCACCCATAGTTGTATAATGTAACAACAAAAAAACTCCCAACAGTTGTAATGAATGCAAAATGTTTAAACATTTTATATAACCTGCTATCATTTGGTCCATGTTCATTTTAGTTTTGTTGATTGTAGTATTGGTTTGGGTTTCTCCAAATGTCAGCATTTCTTTTTGTTTGTTTGTTTGTAATTTCAAGGAGATAATATGGAATATAGGGAAAGATACAATTAATGTTCTATATATTCTGTGATTTGGGTTGCCGGACTTCACATTTTGTGTACTGGCTTTAAAAGTATATCTTTCTTTATTTCCAGATAATCCCCCCACCACCTCCCATATGTCCAGATTCTCTTGAGGATGCTGATGCTCTGGGAAGTATGTTAATCTCTTGGTACATGAGTGGCTATCATACTGGCTACTATATGGTAAGTGGTCTCTCAGCATCTTATTTTGATAATCCCTTTGTGGTTGTGTGACCTTACCATTTTTTAATTAAAACGTCATTTGTCTGTTTGTTTTATACTAAGTGAAAGAAGCCAGTCTAAAATGACCATATATTCTATTTATATGGAGTAGTCCAGAATTGCTCAATTTATGGATATCAAAAGTAGATTAGTGTGTACCTTGGTTAGGATTGTGGAGGAGAAAGAGGATGTTGGGGAGTGATGGCTTAATGGTGGGGATACAGCTGAGTTAGTAAAATGTTCTAAACTTATGGATGCACAACTCTCTGAATGTACTGAAAGCCAATGAATTGTACATTTGAAGTAGGTGAATCACATGTCATGTGAATTAGATCTCCATAATATAAGGCTTTTAAAAAATTGTTATGTGGATCTTAAAGGTAAAAACAACTTTAAGGCTAAAAAATCCAGTGATCTGTGTAAAACTTAAATTACTCTTGCCTCAGCACTGTTAAATGTAATTATAGTGCATTTTAAAATGTTTCATGTCATGGTTAGATTTTTATATTTTTTTGTTATTGTTACTGAGAGCCCCTTACTTCCAAATCCAACTGTCAGCTGTTCCCAATCATAGTGACTGTAGGACAGTAGGACTGTAGGGCTTCTGAGACTGGAAATCATTATGGGAGTGGACAACTTTATCTTCCAAGAAGCGGCTTGAGAATTTGAACTGCCAACCCTGTAGTTACTAACCTTTTGTTTAACCCACAGTGCCACCAGGGCTCCTTGTTGAGAATATAGACAGCAAAACATGCATCAGCTCAAGTTTCTACATATTCTACAAGTTGTGCAACTATTTTCACCCTCAATACTTTTCTGAGTTGCTCCTCTCCTCATTAGCATAAACATCTTCATTGTTTTTATTGGCTACTGGTCCTTAGTAGTTTTATTTTAATAGAGGTATGACAAGTAATTTTATGTCATTGTATATTTTATTTAATGGAAAAAGGTGTAAGTGGGCTTAGCATCTTTAGATTTAGTGAAAGAAGAAACAATTATAGTCTAATAGTTTTTTCCTTTGACATCAGTTTTAAAGCATATTGAAAGGCTATACACTTATTTCTGATGATATTTTGTTAAAGTTAGTTATTGTTATTAGTGCTGTGGAGTGGATTCTGACTCTGTAGAATGTTATGTGAAACGTCTGTATTAAGTACATATGCTTGCCTTTTAAATTCCTTTGTTTCTTTTCTTGCAGGGTTTTAGACAAAATCAAAAAGAAGGAAAATGTTCCCATTTCAATTAAGGAGTAAGTCTGCCGTCACTAAAAAAAGTGAATCTCTCCTTTTTTTGTACATGGTTTGTAGAAAACAAATCATTAAAAATGGAAATGTTAAAAAATGTAATGTGATAACAGTATTAAAGATGATGCCAAAACTCATAGATGAAAGATTGATCCACACTCTCACTAGAATTTTCATGGTGTCAACATATGATCTCACAAATATTTGCTTGTTGGTTGTGTGGTGGAGTTTAATCCAACGTTTAGCTCTTTCCCATTTGCAGGGAATGCCGGGGATGAAGCAGCAAGTTACATGACACCATAAAAAAAAGAATGGGACAAGTCCAGATTGTGGAATGCGAAGTAGAAAAGAACTGCCTTCATTTCTTAACAGTAAATTGGTGTCATGAAAGGAGAATAAAAAGAGGTAGTAGTGATGGTTAAGGAGCCTAGATTTCAGGTAGATTTCAGAGACATCACAGCCAAATACAGTGTAGTAACCTTGACTGGACTGATTATCCTGATCTGAAAAGCTATAAAAGACATGAGGGGACGGGGGAAAAGACATTGAGGAAGTTTTAATATGGAGTGGATTTTAAATGGTATTAGATAATAACTGCAAATTTTATGAACTCTGATAAAGGTGTTTATAGGAAAATGCCTTTAAAATTTGTGTGCTCAAGTATTTTGGAGTGAAGTCTTATGTTTCTAATGTATTTTTAAATGGTTTAGGCAAATTCTGTATGTGTGAAACATGAAAAAAATGTTAATTACTGAATCTTGGTTCATGTATATGTACATTGTACTGTTTTTTCTACTTTCTGTATGTTTGAAAAGTATGTAATAAAAAAATGTACAATATTTTAAAACAATTAAAAAAAGATTCATATTCCTGTTTTTGCATTAAATTTTGCATCCATATTTATATTTTTTATATAGATGCCGTCATAACACTGTGTTTGTGCATATACCTAGCTAACATCATATTTTTCATGTTGTTTTTCTGTCAGATGGTTTACCTACATTATATACTGTTGTTTCTTTCCTTCAGTTGTTAAATATCATCGAGTCAGTTCACACTCATAGCAAATCCTGTTTAGGGTTTCCGAGGATCAGCTGGTGAATTTGAATCGTGACCTGGCAGTTAGCAGTCCAGTGCTTATCTTACAACATCTCACCAGTAGATTTTGCTCTTTGGATAATGTTAAATTTATTATCTTCATATTCTATTTCGTTGTAAATCTCTCTGATGTAAATATTTGAAAAAAAAAATGTGGACAATATAATAATTCCTAGTATCTGTGTCTGTGGTGCCTTGAAAAGCAAATTTTTGAAGTTCACACTTTTCCATTTTCAGAATGAGAGATGTATTCCTGGCAGAGGAGGATATTTTTATTAAGTAAACGATCTTCACAGTTGAGAGTATAATTGATTTATGATTAATCTGCATTCCATTAATGTTCTTTATATGAGTTATTCATCCAACTCTAAACGAAAATTTTAGGAAATTTAGGCAAGGAGATGGATTAGAGTGTACCAGGTGAGAATGCACACAACTAATGTACCAGAGTACACTGTGTTTAGAGGCGTGAGACACCCAACTGTCCTTACCAACCCCCACCCCCAACCTTACATAGTACCCCTTCTGTGAATGTGCTTTCTACTTCTGTGACATAGCTTTCCATGCTGTTGTCATTTTTTAATGTAGTGGTTACGAATCGGGCTGTGGAGCACAAAGTCAGCAGATTGAAACTACCAGCTGTTCCATGGGAGAAAGATGAGACTTTCTGTTCCCGTAAAGATTTACAGCCTCAGAAACCCTGTACAGGGTCACTATGAGTCAGAACTGACTCCACGGCACATAACAACAACAACAGTGACTCATTAGCATGGTCAGATATTTCACTGTGTCTCTAGTGTCTGGCACAACTTTGAATAAAATCTAAGGTGTGCTTAAATCATAAAACATGTCACGAGAGGGAAAATGGTAAGTGATAGGTTTTAGAGTTGTTTTCAGATCAAATCTTTTACATGATGACATGGAAAATTAGATATTAGTATTGTTTTTGCTTTTTAATGGTGCTTTGCTTTCTTAAACTTTTTATTTTGAAATCCTATTAGGTTTCCAGAGAGTTGGAAAGGTAGTACAACGTTCCTTTACACTCTTATCTACCTTCCTATAATGTTAGCATCATTCATAACCATGGTGAAATACCCAAACTAAAAAATTACCTTTGGTACATTACTAAGTAAATGGTAGGATTTCTCATTTTTCAGCTCTTGTTAGCTATGTATATGTGTATATGTATATAACAAAACAGTCGTTTCAAAATGTTTTACATGTACAATTCAGTGATATTGATTATCTCATCATGTTGTATATCCATCACTTTATTTCCAAATAAATTTTTTTTTAATCAACATTATAGGTTTATATTAATATAGTACTTTTCACCATGGAGGTATTATTCAATTAGTCTATATCAAGGTTTTATATGATTCTTATAAAAACAATGTATCTTTTCTCCATTTCAATATTCAATATAAAGTTTTTTAACAAATTATTTTCCCATTTCAATATTAGATACATTAGAATAAATTTTTCAAAACTTACATTTTCTCAAAGAAATAAAGCTTTCCATTTGATACATAAGTATAAGATCAATGAAATGATGGAGAAAAAGACTCCTGATTCATGGGGGCAGCAACTATTACCAAGCAGTGTGATTTCCCAGGTTGCTGGGCAAGAGATTCTGTCTTCCTACAGCATGTGCTCTGGGACTTCTAAAGCCAGTGTCAGTCATCTTTATTCTTTCACTTGCTTTCTAATCATTCAATACAAACTATAGTTTGTATTTTTCAATACAGTTTTAAAGCAACAGTAACTTTTCTCCTTTTTGACATACATGAATTTATTCCCATTATATATCTAAGTTGTGGGAACTTTCAGACATCGAAACTCAGTTTTAGCTTCAACAGTAAAAAGGCTTGCAGGGTGAGCTCTGATTCCGGAGGCCATTCAGAGTCACATCTGTCCATTTGTCTTTCTACCATAAACTCCTAACCAGGCTCAAATGTCTGTGGTGCTAAACCACATGTAACAAGGTCATTACCAAGTGAAATTCACAAATGTCAATTTCACTTTGTGCCTTTCCAGACTTGGGGGGAATTTGATGTTTGTGGAAACCTGAAGGGATACAGTGAGCAAAAACTCTTTAAAGAGCTTCATAATCAGTCAGCCCTAACTACTCCATGAGCAGATGTCTGGTGATAGTGCAGAACACAGTTATACAGGGCTTTATCGACAATTGGAGTGGCACCAGTGCTTTGGTACAATTGGCCATCCCTTTCACCCTGGCATTCCATCAACTGTCAACTGCAGGAAACAGGCATAGAGCCAAGAGAAGTGTAGTTATTCCCATGGCTCTTTCGACCCCATGTTTACATAGTATCAGAGTTCCCAACGGGTGCCAAACAAATTCAAAACAAGAAACCAAATAGCTGCAGGGGTTGAATCTGTATTATTATGGTGGTAAACCATTAACAAAAATGTAAACTGAACTAGCTACATCTATTATAATCAACAACGATTTGTAAATTATACCAGAGAACACTATTAAAAAAAGTAAGCAAGAATCATTCCCACCCCCTCCACACACAGAGTAGACAGGGATGGGTAACTTGGACATTGGCTACCCAAAATTGGGGGGCAGGGGCTACAAAGGCAAGAAGTGGCTTACAAGCTTTCTAGAGGGAACCTAGATCCAGAGGGCCTGGAGGAAGGTAGAATCTCCAGTGAGTAGTATCAAATCTGTCTAGGCGGGGCTGATGCAATGAAATACAGACAGGTCTCTTGTGATACAATAGTGAATAATTGTTAACAGGACTGATTGTGAAGGTTGGAAGTGTAAAGGTAGACGTTTTATAGCAAGGAGGGGAGTGATTAACTTTTCAGTCTAGGAGCGGAGGTCCCTAGGGACCATCAAGGGAGAAGAGCGGAGAGCGGGACCCTACCCAGAGAAGCAGTGATGCCTGAAATGGAGCCAGAGATGATGACGTAGAGCAATGGAGCAGCTGGAGTCTGTAGACCCAGAGAGGGAGAGGGACTGTGTGCTGATGACCAGAGGGCAGGCTTGTAGTGTATACCCTTTGGTTGGGTGATGATGCATGGAGGGGATTGTAAGCATGGCAATGAGACGATATACAATAAGATGAATGTAAAATTAATGTTCTCCCATGTAAACTATCAATCACATAATTCACAATATAACATTTAAGAAAAAAAATAACCCAAATTAAAAAAAAAGAAAAGAAATAGCAGAGCAATTAGGACCTACTAGCAAAATGGCCTGGGAACCTAGGTTAACCCTAGAAATGATTAGCAGAAAAAGGAGGAGTATGTGTTATAATCAGAGTCCAATGTTATACTTTCAGTCCCAGTAACACAGCTCCTGATAATACCATTACCAAAACATTACAACGGCTGACCACCTTAGCTAATGAACTCACTGAAAATTCAGGCATAGATGACCCCTTTTCTAGTATCATGGAACAATGGTTCGAAAATATAAAGGGCTTATGACTTCAGTCCTCACCTCTTTAATTATTGTATTTGGCGTATCAACACTAATTGTTGTTGTTGTTAGGTACCATCAAGTCGGTACCAACTCATAGCGACCCTATGCACAACAACCAAAGCACTAACTGGTCCTGGGCCAACCTCACATTGACCCCATTAATGCTTGACCCCATTAATGCTGCCACTTTGCCAATCCATCTCTCTGGAGGTCTTCCTCTTTTTCTCTGACCCTCCACCTTACCAAACATGATATCCTCCTGGATGCTGTACTATACCCTGTAAAAGAGAATTAGTTCTAAAACTTAGACAAACAGCCCTATCCAAACAACCCTCACCTCCATACCAAAATAACCTTTTTCACTTAGAAACATATGAACACAAAGTCATCATCTCCTTGCAGAGTTTGAAAAAAAAGTCTTGAAAAAAAAAAAGGAATTGTGGGAAT